CAGGAGGGAAGTGGGAGGGAGAAATAGAAACATCAATGATGGGAGAGAATCATTGATCGGCTGCCTCCTGCACGCCTCCCACTGAGAATCGAGCCTGCAACCCAGGCATGTGCCCTTGACTGGAATCAAATCCGGGACCCTTCATTCTGTAGGCCGACACTCTATCCATTGAGCCAAACCAGCTGGGGCTGGAGAGAGATTTTTAAAAGTTTTGCAGTCTTATAATTTATCTTTGATTGTAATTTGAAATACAAATTGTCACATGAATTGAGCCCTCAGCTTCAATTTTTTGTTTTGAATATTAAAACAAAAACAAATAGTTTGTTCCATATTGGCTAAATTAATTCTTAATAGCAATAAGAAATCCCCCTTTGCTATTAAGCAAACTAAATTAAACTAAATCCCCCAAACTAAAGATTTTTCCTGTAGCCACAAAACCTGTGGCTTTTTAATTAACAGAATGTCCGTCATATGCTGCCATTTTGAGGTTTGAACACAGCCATAAATCCATGAATTTGTGTGAATGTAGCCTGCCATCCCAGTGAAAAGAAGCCTTTGCTTAAGTACTAGTAAAAGAAGTTTAAAGTGGAAAAGAAACAGCTTTGTAAAGTTTTTAGAAAAACTTCAATGAAATTGGATTTTTTTATTTAGCCCATGGCCTCATGAACTGGCAGTTGTGAGATGCATGCTTTGTGCCCAGGCTCATGAAGGGTAAGGATCCAGTCAGTACATGTTGCTTATTCCTTCTAGGAACTTTTTATCAAATACCTCTTCTGTTCCAGCACCTAGTGCTGAGGATGGTTTTAAAAAAAAGACCAGTTTCTGGCATAGGATAGGGAAGAAAAGCAAGTTGAAAGGAGTAATTAAAATAGTGGAGTAAGAGAAAATCTTCCGTTGTTTTTTTGGTAATGGAAGGGCACCAAATCCAGCCCTACTGAGTTAGGAAAGGCTTCCTAGAGTTGAGCATAAAAGGACCATCAGGAACTGCAGGTAAAGGGATTTGGCAGTCTTAGTAGTAGTGTATGGCGAGACCAGGCAAAGAGGAGAGACCTGGATTGGGAGCTATTAAGTATGGGTTTTTGTTTTTTTTTACTTTTTAGTTAAGTAATACATTGGTGTAATAAGTAAATACAAAGCTGAAAAAGAAAAGGGATCTGCTTTTCCCAGTAACCTTTAGGCACCTGTCTACAACTTAACCTAAAAACAATGTTAACTTTTATTCAAAAGTGAAAACAGGTGCTTCTTACTCTGCGCTTAAATTTTCTTAAGAATCATGTGGGCCGAAACCGGTTTGGCTCAGTGGATAGAGCTTCGGCCTGCGGACTGAAGGGTCTCAGGTTCGATTCCGGTCAAGGGCATGTACCTGGGTTGCGGGCACATCCCCAGTGGAAGGTGTGCAGGAAGCAGCTGATCGATGTTTCTCTCTCATTGATGATTCTAACTCTCTATCTCTCTCCCTTCCTCTCTGTAAAAAATCAATAAAATATATTTAAAAAAAAATCATGTGGCCATTTAAGTACGGAAGGCAGGGGGAGCTCCAGGGACAGAGGCCCAGAAGGGAGAAGGGAAGTCCATGCAACAACTGCTGTTCTGCCTTGCAGTCTGCCTTGTACAGAGAGGGGGAGATGGCTGAAGAGGGCATGCCCCACATACCTAAGGTGCCTCAGCGCACCCCTGCGGTGGTCCCTGGTCTGGACCAGGCTGAGCAGCGCCAGTGGAGGCCCTTAGCTGCTGGTGCACCCTGCACCCTCCTTGGAACCAGCCGTCAGCAGCTGGAGGCCTCTGATGGCGCCACTGGGCTGCTTTGCATGTTACGTAAATTGGCAGTCAGAGATCATGTTATTGGCCTCTCCTACCACAATGTCAGTTGTAGAAGCTCAACGAATGATAGTTGGATACCGGTAATCAGTGGCTACTCCCTCGTGAAACTAAGTGTATGATGTCAGGTTCCTAGGGAGGCGTTCTGCTGCAGCTTGATGACTTAATTGATATTCCTCTTTAGGTCTTAAAACTTAAAATACCTGGCATTAAAGTTAAGCCCGTGAGAGAAAGTGTATTTGCCCTATTTCTCACTCAGTTGTTTAATTAGACTCTGAAAAATATCCAATTTTTTCTTTCTTTCTAATAAACAGTCTTAGGAATAATTCTGTATCTTCTTCAGCCAGTTAAAATGTTCAACTTGTATTGCTGGCACTAATAAACAGTACTTCCTATGTAAGCAGCCTTATTTCATTCTCAGGACCATTTTATGAAGTACAGCCTGTTATTCCCATGATGCACAGGAAGAAAGGTTCCACACGTTGCTCATGGAGCTGACACTGAAAACCAGGTGATTCCAAAATGCAATTTCTTTATTCTCATTCAAACTGCTGTCAGTTTCTTCTCTGTCTAGGTTTGGGCAGAAGTGAAGTAAGAATCCATGGCTTGTTTTTCCACATTCTGTTAAAACTTATCTAAATTGGCCACAGGCAGTGAGATGAGTACAAAGAACTAAATTACAAGAATCTGGATTCCAGTCTTTTATTTGGGTCAGAACAATGGCTCTCTTACCTGGCAACTTGTTTGAAAAGCAAAATCTCAGGTCCTACCCTAAGACCTACAGAATCAGAAACTGTGACAGTGGCACTCAGCAAGCACACACACATTTGGGAACTAGTCGACTGGACAGCAGTTTCCTCACCTGTAAAGTATAACTGTCCCTCAAGGGATTGGTTTCCAGACCTCTGGCAGATAGATACCCAAACCCAGAAGATGCTCACGACCCTTATATAAAATGACATTTGTATATAGGCTACAGCAGGTATATCTGCACATCGCCTTATCTTGTGCAAGTTCAAGTTTTGCTTTTTGGAACTTTCTGGGATTTCCTCCCCAAATATTTTCAATCCAATTTATTGAATCCACGGATGCAGAATCTGAGAATACACAGGGCTGACTGTGTGTTGGATGCTCCCTTGTCCTGAGCCTCAAACTCTCACTTGAAATAGCATGGGATGCCACTATTCGAACTTCCACATTAATTCTAAGTGGCATTTCTGTCCTAGGTGGTTAGGTTAATACAAGTATGTCCCCATGTTGGTAGTGTTGAAACTTGGCAGTACTTGACCATCCAGGTGCTTAGGCTACATCCAGTTCAGTTACACCAAAATCCCTGGTGTGGAACTAAAATCAATTTTAAAGCTTCCCAGGTAATTCCACTTGTAGCCAAGGGTGAAAAACAGTGCCAAATGCAAAAAAGATGCTAATTTCACATCCAGGAAGGTTGGTCACTACGTTACACAGCATGGGACAGAATTCTTACTCTGAAAAAGCAGTAGTGCTAGGACCAGGAACTGCACTTGTGTGGATGGGCTTTATTTCTGTGATTACCTGGGTCAGTGTTCTAAGAGGTATTTTTTTCTTTTTACTAGACTTGTCAGTTTCTGCCTTTCCAGATATAACTATTTTCTTTTAGTGATTTCTATTTTCTTTTAAAGGTTTTATTGTGGTAAGATATGTAAAATAACTTTTAACCGCTTTTAAGTATAGAATTCAGTAGCATTATACAACCATCATTTCTAAAACTTTTCATCACCCTAGAGACAATTAAGCACCAACTCCCTGTTCTTGCCCCCCAGACCTTGGTAATCCGTCTCTGAATTTGCATAGATATCTCATAGCTGGAAGCATATAGTATCTGTCCCTTTGTGTATCATTTTGGGGTGAACAAAAGGTTTACAGTTCTTCATATGAAAAATACAATATACTTTTGCCTGACTGGTGTGGTTCAGTGGTTGAGCATTGACCCATGAACCAAGTCACTGGTTCAATTCCTGGTCAGGGCACGTGCCTGGGTTGTGGGCTTGATTCTCAGTAGGGGAAATGCAGGAGGCAGCCAAGATCAATGTCTCTCCCTCTTCGATGTTTCTCTCTCTAAAAAATTAATAAAATTAAAACTTTTGCATACAACTGTAAATCCACTTTTTGCTAACCCCTATATACATATCATTTTGTTTACTATCTGTTGACTAAATGGTTGTTTTCCCTTTGGCTATTGTGAATAATGCTGCAGCAAAGGGCATGCAAAGTATCTGAATCAAGGAGTGTAATTACTGGGTCATATGACAATTCCATGTTTGGGTTTTTGAGGAGTTGCCCAACTTTTCTATAGCAGGTATAACATATAATATTCCCATGAGCAATGTGCAGGGTTCCAACTTCTCCATTCTCATTTGCTTTCATTTTGAGTTAGATTTTGGATTAGTTGATGTGAAGTAGTAGCTCAGTGTGGGTTGATTTGCATTTTCCCTCATGACTGATACTTTTCACTCTCCACCCATTTAAATAGAAAATATTTAACTACAGTTGATATTTTTGGGTGTTAACATTTTAACTAGTTAAGTGAAAAGTTTCCTATCTTAGTGACCAGCTAATGCTTTCTTCTGGGGAAAAATAAAAAAGCCTATAGTGACACACTGGAAATACTTTGTAATCAGTGTATTAAGGAGACATTCATACATTTCAAGAATTGCTTAAATTCTGATATCCAGATTTAAGCTTGTGAACATATGACTTTAAACATACAATTAAAGCTATTCATAATTTGCTATACTACCAACATTAAATTACAGTTACTTTGGAGCATAAGTTAAATGGTTTAAAGTAAGCCGGTAACATACCTAAAACACACCTTCCTATCTCATACATGCAAATTACTTCTCCATGTAAAGGTTTCATCACTCAACTTCTAAGTAAGCCTATTCCAAAAGTCACTACTCTAAGGCTTATGGTCCAAAGAGAAGGGGGGAAAAATGTAACCAAGGACTGATATATAATAATAAAAAAAAGATGGCACAACAGAAGGGAATGCAATTCTACAAGTGCAAGCCCTCAAGAAGCAGATTATGATAAACCCCTTCTTTGGAAGGTATCATTTCTATCACTGATACCACAGGTTAAATTATATGGCATGCCACCTTCAAGTAACAGTTGAGGCAACAGAATAAATGCAGCAGCATCACACTTTTAAAACACTACTATAATTGAATATTAAAACAAAAACAATAGCAAGTAGTGAGCATATTATGGTTACAGTCCTTCACTCATTCACTACTGTATATAAAATGCCAGCAGTGAGTGTTATTCACTGGCCCCATTAAGAGGTCTGACACTGAACACCACCCCTAGGATGATGTTCATCATCCTCGTATGCTTCTCCATTGTAATGGCGCCGTCTTTCTTGATTTGGATCAAAGTCCACCAGTTCTACCTGGTCCATTTCATCAGTCTCTTCTACTTCCTTCCTTTCAGGTAGGAGTTTTTCCAGCAAAGAGAGTTTATCAGGAGAGAGAAAGCCATTCTCAGGAAAGTTTACCTATACAAAAAAGAACTTCTACTGTAAGTTTGATTTATTTATTTCATCATTAGTTCCTTGAATTACTGTCAACCCATTTCCCCCAGAAAAACACATGTAACCAAAACACTATTTTTCAGTGAATTTGCCCTTCCCAAGGTTAGAATACATGCTCTAAAAGGCACTGCATCCAGTGCTCTGAACTAGTTTAAAGCATATGGCACAAGTAAGGTCTTTTAAAAAAAATAATGATCCTAGTAAAATAGCTCTGTAACAACCATTGTTCTATTCAGAAAATACATTATATATGAGAATCCTTCCTAAAACACATTTTATGAACCACCCTATTAACAAACCAACCACTGTATTTTGCTAAAAATCCACAAGTTATTTTAAGCCCTTCCGCTGAACTTTAAGAATCCCAGTTACAGTCTTGTAGCCTCTTCCTCCACCAAGTTTTAAGTAGCCAAATAATGATGTAAACAAACCCAATCCCAACCTGACAGGAGTATTAGATAAATCTATTTCTTTCTGGATAAGGGAGAATAGAAATTTGATGTTTCTTTGACATTCAGAAGATTAACTGTTATCAGATTTTAGTAAGTAACCACTCAAATATTCCTAAAGTACTTTATAGCTTACCTTAAATTCGATGATTAGGCGACCCTTTTCATATGGCCTACGATAAATTGGCATGCCTTCATTTAATACACACTTGATATCTCCATGCTTGACAATCTGACCTAAAAACATTGAAGGCAGGTTCTTCCTTAAATACAGCCACATTTTCATGTAGAGAGAATAAGGAACAGAGAAAAACGTCCTAGCTCATTGACAGGAGATAAAGGTATGTGAAGCAATCCTTTGTTTTTCATTTATGGGTTTTCCAGGGGCTTCCAGAAAAAGAGCCAAGATCATACAATTTCAGTTCAGCTCATGAAAGGGATATGTAACTGAGCAAGTAAAATACCCATTTCCTCAATGCCTAACCAGCTATCTGCAGACAATGAAAATAAATTACTAGAATAGAAAGAGAAGCTCATCTATCAGTACCTTACCTGGATGAGAGGTGATGACTATGGTTCGGTTGTCAAGAGTAGCTATTGGCTTTTGGAAGCCACACAAAGCTTCAACCAGCTGTATGTCCATACACATGAAAAGGTCTTCTCCTCGTCTGTATTAATATAAATTTAGCACATATTTAGATCTTTCAGATCACCAATTGTTATAAGTACCACAGCAGGCAATTGTTTTCTTAATAAGAGCAAGGTATCTTTTACAAAGGTGTCGTCCTTTCTTCCCCATTCTAAAAACAGAACTGAGAACCAGGAGCAGCAAATATATGGAACCTGCCAGGCCCATTTCCTGGACAACACTTCGGAATCCTTACCCACACTCTAGGTAGTCTCTACCATTTACCATCCCTGAATTGTCCCATCACCTAATTTTAAATTTAGTTGCTCACATAAAGAAAAAATTCTAGTAACAGTGAGGCTTTAAAAAAAAAGCAAACATACATTAGGGAGATTATAGTCTAATAGGAACAGACCTCAGCTGGCCCTGGATTATGGGTTCTATAAAATTTACTGACATACATAAATTAAGTAACATAGTGCTTGGAACATTATGAACACAATCTTTTATATTTAATAACAGCCCATTTCCTCCTCTTGGTATTTAGACTTTTTTCCTTTTCCAATCCATATAAATAACAGGATACTCTTCAGAAAACCTCCTGAAGATTCACCTCAAATGATGGCATTAAAATCCCGAGTTTAACAGTATTTCCCATTGTAGGAACACTTGGGGAATGTTCTATTATAATGAACTTAAAACTAGTTCCTTCAGATGTAAATCCTGACAAGATTTACTAGAACCCCAATCCAGTCTGTTTTAAAGTCAGCCATGGGTATATAATTGACATATTCGCTGTTTACTATCAATTTTTCTTTGCTTCCCTATTAAGTTCATTGTAAATACTATTAAATATTTCACAGCAATAGGCCTGAATTTACAGATTTTAATAGAGATGGTTCTAGACATTTATTTACAATTAAAAGCAACTGAACATATCGTGAACTCAAGGATTTAAAGTGGTGAGAACTTTAGGACAAAATTTTGTCTAGGGAGGTTTCCCACAATCCACCATGTTTATTATATTCATGCAAAACATCATCTAACTGATGTATATTCTTCAAATTCCAGATTAGATAATCAATTTACCTAAATTTGGACAAAAAACTAAAATCCGATCCTTTTTGCTCTCAGCCTCTTTCCAGATGAAAACATGATTAATGACATTTTAGAAAAGATACACATAGCCTAACTCTCCCACTATATTTTTCCAGAGTATTTCTAGGAAGTATGTTCTAAGTAATGAAAAGCTCCTTTAAAAAAACACTCCAAGTATGCACAATGTCAGTTTGAGTAGTTGATTAAAATTTTTACCGAGTGAAAACAGCATGGTCCTTCTGATCTAAAACAATGATAATATCTCCTGGCTCCAGTCCTGGTTCCTGGTCTCCTTCACCATGGAATGTTATCTTCTGGCCATCTTTCATGCCTAAAAACAGAAGGTTCATTTTATACTTTTAACATCCAACTAAGGTCAGATTCTCAATATATTAAGAAACACAGATGCATGTTTGTGCATAAAAAAAAGCAAGTTCAAGTTTTTGTGGATGCTAAGGTTTACAAAGATGACGAAGAATGCCCACATGATTAGACCAGTCCAATTTCTTACTGAAGAAAGATATCACAGAGAAGAACACAAACTAGAGGCAAACAGATCAGGCCTGAGGTCTCAGCTGCTACTCACTACCAGCTGGATTATCCCAGGGAGCAAGCTGCTTAACTCCTAACCATCAACTGTCCCACAGAGACCTACCTCATGAGGATTGTTGTGAGGACTGAATAAAAAGGCCCATGCTGGCAACAAATCTGTGACGGGCAAACACTTTAACCATAAATGTTAACTATTCCAATTTCATTACTTACTTAAAAGAACCTGTATCAAATTATTTCTATTAAGCCTAACAGTAACATAAATCAAGACTTTCTTTTCTCTATTGTATTAGCAGTATTTACATATAGGAAGTATAGGATGTCCCTCAAAAATGTATGCACACACTTTGAATAATTATACAGTGTTAGCCCTAGCTGGATAGTTCAGTTGGTTAGAACGTTGTCCCAATGTGCCAAGGTTTAAGTTTCAATCCCCAGTCAGGGCATATACAAAAAGCAACCAATAAATGACAAGAAAGTGGAACAACAAATTAATGTCTCTCTCAAATCAATAAATAGAAATTTAAAATGTTAAAAAAAGGCAGTGTTTATTAAAGGCCAACTTATTTTATTGAGAGATTCCCTCCCTCGTACCTCTAACCCATATATTTTTAGTTCAGTGAGGCCTTTGACAACATCTCTTTAAAGTTAACTCATGTAATGTGTTTGCAGATTATACTACAGCAGTATCTTCTGATAATTTCCTGAACCAATCAGTGACATCACCCAAAGAGAACCATTTATGGGAAAAATTAAACCTATATAAACACAGCCAGTACAATGGATTTCTATATATGAATCTAGATCCAGCAGTTAACTCATTACTAATATTTCATATATACTGTCATCCTTGTCCAACCCCCCAATATCTGAAGCAAAATCCAGACATGAATTAACCCACAAATACTTCAGTACCTCTAGAAAAATAAAAGCTTAAACCACAATACCAGTGTTATACACCAACAAAACTAAACGTACTGTGGCTTTAATTATCACGAGGCAGTATGACTAGTTACACTAATGTAACAAACTCAGCTGTATTTTGCTGGCTGTTTCAGTACTGTGAAGAGCATGGGTAAGAGCAAAATAAATGGCTTTAATCGCAATTAATGCCCTCCTAAGTACATACTATTGGTAGCGAGGTGAGGCATCTTACTGGAAGAAAAAACAACAACCACCAATTCCACATGGGCCAATTAGGTGGGGGATAAATGGAGGGAGGGAAGTATCATGATTCACATGGGTTAAGTACTATTGCAGGGCTTACATAATGTATATATGTACTAATATGAGATGTTCATAATATTAATAGTTCCAAATCAGTATGTACAGTATAATACTAGTTGCAAAGTCTGAAGATTACAACATTTACTATTTCAGAATAGCAAAATTAGAAACTTTAATTTACTCTGGAGTTATATACATTTCTGAAAAAAGTTACATAGTTATAAACTAGAGCCCCAGAGCCAGAAACCTACAGGTAGGTTTACAGTCTATAAAAAAACATTAAAAAACATTTTTATTGACTTCAGAGAGGGAGAGAAGCAGAGAGAAACATCAATAATGAGAGAGAACCATCAACTGGCTGCCTCCTGCATACTCCCCACTGGAGGTTAAGCCCACAACCCGGGCATGTGACCTTTATAGTGCATAGGTTGGCCAAAACATTTTAAAAAGCACTATTTTTTTTGTCTTTTTGAAGATTTTCTAGAGAGAGGGAGAAAGACAAACATCGATGTGAGAGCAGAATATCAATTGACCACCTCCTGCAAGCTCCCCATTAGGGATCCAGCCTGCAACCCAGGCATGTGCCCTCACTGAGAACTGAACTGGCAACCCTTCAGTGTACAGACCATGCCCTAACAACTGGGCCACACTGGCCAGGGCTAAAAAAGCAGTATTTTTAATCTAAGCTCTTACAAATCAATAAAAATATAACACATTTCATTAGTTTAGAAAAATTTCAAGGAAATAATTTAAATTCACCTAAATCTCCTTCCCCCAAGTTTGAAAGTACATATATTCCTTACCCTAACAGTTCAGTTCCTAAGGAACTTAACATGTGCAAAAATTAATTACAATTTAAAAAGAGGTAGAACTAGTAATTTAATGCAAATGAATTAAGTTTGAATGCTATTTAATCATTTACTGATGTCAGTGTTATAGTAAATGAGGAGATTCTTAATATATTCCTTACAAATGTGCAAAAATGTCTGGATGGAAAAAGTTTTTACTATGTTGCCCAGATATCTCTGCGTGATAGGACCATGCATAGAACCCTATTGAGAATTATTTTTAACAACTATAAAATCTAAATAATCTTGCCATTGCACTCAAGAATTCAGAGAACTCACCTTTATCAATATGAACTTCTAGAATCTTCTTCTCCCGAACTATCTTCCTTCCATTGCAGCTTTTACATCTATCTTTAGGACTGATCCTTTCCCCATGGCCCTGGCACTCCATGCACACAGACTGAATTTGCTGAACCATTCCAGGGCCTATCTGATGAATTCTTATTTGCATTCCAGTACCTCGGCAATTGGGACAGCACTCTACTGCTCCTTTCTTACCACCTCGGCCTAAATAGTTTAAAAAGAAATTGAATTATGTTTGAACTTAGTATCAGACACAATGATTGTTTTAATAAGATAGTTTTAAAAGACACAACACTGTATTAACATTTGCAAGTGTGATGAAATGTTTGTCCATCAAGAACTAAAATTTAGCCTTTTTATTTGATAAAATACAGCTGCAGCCAGCTTCAGTCATCTATAAACATTGACTGTTGTTTTCACAAAGAACCATTTTAGAATTGTGAATTTTAAACGTGCTCCCAAATCACAATTCACTGGACATACTTAATCTGTGAGACGAGAACAGTAAGGAGTTTATTCTCTTTAGAAGATACCGTATTTCCAAAAAAATAACTTGTACTTATAAAAGGCTTAGAGGATCAGAGCCAATAACTTGTCTCTATATGGAACAGCTTAGTGTGCAAAGAAGTCACTGTTTAAATCCTATTACAGATTATGAAGCCATTGGAATGATTAAGTGTTAGAGACAATATGATGTGCTCATTTGAACTCTGTTGGGAAAAAAAATGACACTACCTTAGATTCCAACTGCATTAAAATCCTATATAATAAAAGGCTAATATGCAAACTGTCCCCACCAGCGGGACCAACCAGGAACTAGAGGTGAGCTGACCACCAGGGGGCGGCATGGAACATGACGAGCTTTGGTGATGCAGCACTGGCAGCAGGTAGCAGTGGAAGCACTGCCAGGTCCCAATGGGCCCTGATGAGTGCAGGACTGCAGTGGGATGGTGCATCAGGTGAGCGGGTGGTGCCAGGCCAAGGTGGGTGCAAGCAGGGGCCCCAATTGCCCTGCCAGTCACCCCACAGATTGGCCCTGATTGCTGGCCAGTCCTAGGGAACCTACCTGTGCCTGAATTTCATGTACCGGGTCTCTAGTATACACATAAAGAAGTGCTCACATTTTGTTAACACATTGTTTGTGGGTAGTTTTTATCACACGCTAATAGGTGGCGCAGGCCATTTTTGCCAATTTTTTGCGCAAATGGCAACATTCAGTCA